ACTGCTTTGATTCTTCTACCTTACTCCTAACACAAGTATTTAGTGATACACTAAAGTCACACTCTAATCAAAGTTAGATGTGATAACATGTGACAGGATGACAAAGGAGATCTGAGTATATAAGAACCTTATTACAACATTATTCACATAAAGTGAGCTTTGTGATAATGCATCATCTGCCTTGGGATCACCCAAAGATGTCTTTACAAAATAATTTATTTTGTAGATAGAGTCATTCAAAATCTAAGAAATCTTCTCCCATATAATGGCATTTCAACACCGGCTTTTGATCTACCTACTTCTGTAGAAGTGAGGGTCTGCATTTTCAGTTTTACACAGTTTTCTGGGAAGCACGTTTGCTCCTTCTTCCTCCAATTCTACTTCATCAGGATTACTTAGGCTATCTTCCATGTACATTCGTTTATGACCAAGCTGTTGAGTTGGACCTTAGGAACATTTAGAAAATAGTAACAGGGTACAATTTTGATTTAAAAGTCCTAGTGTTTTCTTGCTTTTATCTTAGAAAGCACTTTCTTTCAGTTACTAATTTGCATTATTTTAGGCAACTATGCATTAAATTCTACTTAGTTTACTTTTTTTTGACATTAACTACACAGAACGATATACCTTAAAATAATAATTCCTTTAGATGATACTTCCCAGCAGTATTTCATTAACTAGTGACTCTCCAGAACAGTAGGCTATGGCTACAAACCTGATACATGGGTAGTGTCACAGGGCAGGTCGAACCATGTTTTCTCTCTTTCTTCACTACACATGGATAATGGAGATGCTAACTGGCTTTTCTAAAATACACAATACAAGTTGGGGGAAATTACTGTAAGTACTCTTCGATTCACCTTCGACCTTCATTGTCAAGCCTTAGAGCCAGAAAATTTCAAATGCTGTCAATTCTCTTCTCAGATTGTTTAGCTTCTACCCCATCCTTTTCATCTCTTACACGGACATATTTTGATAACCTAGATTCTTTGTCAGCCACAGTCCTACAGTGATAGTTTCGAATTGCCTTTTCTGATTATTCCTGCTTTTCAGTTCATCATTATTATAATAGGATTTTTATTTCTTTATTTGAGTTTTCAAGTCATGTCTTTTACATCTAATCGCTTTCAGTACACAGGTTTTTTTTTTGTTGTTGTTTGTTTGTTTGTTTTTAGAGGTTTTTACTATAGGGCATGTGCGCTCACCAGAAAGAGACAGAGAGACAGAAAGCGAGAAATCACAACCCCCCGCCCCAGGGGGGATGGCCACGCTGCAATCCCTTCTCTTCCATTCTCCTCTTGGGATCTTGGGTACGCACACACATGCACTGGCGTTGAGTTTAAGCCACCAGGTCCAGGACTTGAACTGCGGTCGACTACGAGGGAGTCCAGCGACATAGCCATTATGCCAATTGTTGTCCCGGTTTGTTTCTTTTTTGTTATTGTTTTTTATTCTTTTTTTTTACTAACTAATCTTTACTTAGGTTACTGTTCTCTTCCCTTTTCATCTTTAGGATCCCATCTATCCTTAGGTCTAATTCAAACCCCAGTTCTGTCTCAGCTATAAACTTCTATTTGATCTTCTGTCTTTTATAGGTTATTCAAATATTTTTATAACCAATAAACTTCTAAAGCAGCAAGAAACTCAACCGAACAAATTCCTATGCAATCGTGAAACCAGAAAATCCTAACTGTAAATATGTAACTCAGGTGTTCAATATCTATATTGTACTTAAGACGTTACTATTTAAGACATTACTACTCTCACTTTCACTTCAACATTGTCCTATCCAAACCATTTTACTATGACTAAGCCATTCAACATACTTTAAACATCAGATTTTTCAGGTAGTAGTTAAAAGTATTAGAAAATTATAATTATCAGAAGGAAAATTTGAAAGCTAAGCTACAGTATCCTACTTACCTCTCTTTTGCTTTGCTTATGATTTTCATTGGTATTTGGGGATCGAATTTCCATAAATTGCTTTTCTAGACTATAACTGCTTAAATCTGAATAGCTGTTACAATTTTCTGTTTCTTGGGTAAGTATAGCAGAATTTGTATTTTTTCTACTCCTGGTGTTTTTACTCTTCACTGGACTATGTCTGGGCTATGAATAAACATATAATAATAAAGAACATTTAACCAAAACTACATAAATTTTGAGGAAATAATCGATTCACTGCTAAAATTGAACACTCATTAATAATGAAAAGAAAACAAAAACACCCAGCATGGTAACACAAGCAGGAAGATGTCCTGCACAATGAGGCTACCCGGGAGTCCCAGGTTCAGTTCCTGACACAACCTAGACTGAGCAGGCGCAGTGGCACATGCCTGTGGTCCTGGCTAGCTAGGAGGCTACAGCAAGGGGACTGCAATGACAGTACCCTGTTAAAAATACCTCTTTCTCTTTTTCCTGTTCTCTCTCATGGGGAGTAAAAAAAAAAAACAAAAAACCCTTAACCTAGTAGAACATTAATCTGACGAGAAGTATCTATCAAAAATTAGGATGCCTACTTGAGCAGTTTCTATGCTCCAGAGGTCAAAATTACCTTAACAAGAAAAATAACCTGAAGTATAATAATTGAAACATAAAATGTAGTAATTACCATGAGTAACAGCGTTTGTCTATATATAAAATCCAAGAGAATTAGACAGTATTTGATATAATTCATCAAGGTAGTTGAAGATATAAGAATCAGTTTTAAAAAAAGGTTTTCTATTAATAGAGCAAAAATAAAACCATAGATGCTTAGGAATAAATCAAACGAAACATCTAATTTGCTTTGAGGAAAAATCTTGTAGAAAATAAAAATAGGAAATAGGAGAGTAGTGATGTGTGGATGAAAATAATCAATACTAATATTGAGAAATGGCAATTATTCCCTTAGAAAAACTAGTTCTAAAATTTCTATGGACAAATACAGGACCAAAAGAATTCTGAGGTAGAAGAATGAGGGAAGGTGAAACAGGTGTAACACTACACTAGGTAAGGCAGTGCAGTATTGGCAGACAGAGAGACCAGTCAGACAGAACAATGCCTCACAGCCAGACCCACATGGGCATCAAAACCATGACCGAAGCAGGCCGTCCACTTGTGAGGTCGCACTGAATGCTGCCGCACCACTTTGCTATTCATATGTGCGGAAAGGGAGCCAGAGAGAATGAAAACCTGACTGTTCAAATCAAAACTAACATTTTTACAAGAAACATTTTTATGAGAACAGTGGAGGGAAGGATTTCTTAGATAACGCAAAAGGTTAGTAAAAGTTATTACATCATATCTTTTGCCATCTGCAAATTTTGGATTTAGTTAAATGAAAAGACAAGATACATTATAGAAAAAGAATGCTTATTTTGTATAGAACCAAAAAGAAATATCCAGAATATTTTTTAAATTCCTACATACTAGGGACCACCAGATGGTGGTGTAGTTGAGGGTGTTGGACTCCCACATGGTCACTCACAGTTCAAGTCCCAGACCTGGTGGCTTGCTTTCTCATTTTCTCTTTCTCTCTCTGTCCCTCTCTGGTCAAATTAAAATAAATAAATAAAGTTAATAAAATAATTTTTAAAAAATTCCTACATACTGGGAACCAGCAGTTAGCGTAAAGGCTATGTCGCTGCACTCCCACACAGTCGACCGTGTTCGTGTCCCGGACCCGGTGGCTTGAAACTCACGCCAGGCACGTGTGCGTGCATACCCAAGATCCCGAGAGGAGAATGGAGAAGGGATTGCGGCGTGACCATCCCCTCTGAGGGGTGATTTCTCGCTTTCTGTCTCTATCTGTCTGTCTGGCGAGCGTACGTGCCCTATAGCGAAAATCTCTCTCAAAAAAAAATTCCTACATACTGTAAGAAAAATCAAACCTCGCTATTAAAGTATAAGAAAACATAAACACTCAATTCCTAGATGGCCAAAAGAAATGCCCACTGATATAATCAGGTAAATGCAAATTAAAGAATACTTACCTAACTGGTATAAAAAGACATGTGATAACATTGTTAGCTAAAACTACAGAGAAATGCACACTACTTCTAGTACTGTTCAAAGTGTAAACTACTTTATAAAGCGAATTTCCAAAACCTTATTAAGAGTCAACTGTCAATGAAAATGTCTCATGTGTGAGCAGGGACCCAGCCAATGAGTATATAACAACTTAAAATTCCATCTGGTACAAGTAATATCAAAGAAGGTGGGTGGGATTATCTTGGTTTAGAAATCTGCAACATGGAGTATTGAAGGGATTAGAGGATGCAAGGAAGCTAAGGATGATAGTGCAATATTGACAGGCCCACAGGGTAACAGTCCAATGGGAAACTTTTTTTCAGATTGTGGTGCATACAAATTGAGTCTGGCAAAAGTGCCTTGGAGAGTTTATTTGGGGAGGGAGGTTAAGTAGGCTAGTGTTTAGATCTCCTACCTCTGGTTTCATACAAGATTTTGTTGGGAGTTTGGGAGTTTCATACAAGATTTTGTTTGAAAAATATTCTCTGTACTCATTTAAAAGAATAACAGGACATTAAAATCATCTAGGAATAAAAATTATGTTTGGTTCAAAGTGGTGGAACAGAAGGTTGGTCATATTGGGAGTGTTAGATCTGTTTTGAGTGTGCCAAAAGGTCATTAATTCTATCCTCGTATATGAAAGTTAGCACATATTAAGAAAATATCTGAGTATCTACTATGTATATACAATTAAATAATCAATCTTTTTAATTTTCTCAGCCCCATTTTACAAATGGGAAAACTGAGTGGGAAAAGAAGATTCATTAACTTATAAATGCTACATAGCTAGCAAATGATAGTTAGGATTTAAATCCAATTCTGCCTGCTTAAAACTCTTTCATCTAAACCCAGTTACAGTGAACTAGAAGAATAACACTGTAATCAGTCCTGTAACTTTAGTACTACTTAGAAAATCTCCACAGTAAGCCATATATATACACCACAAGAAGTCAAAAAAAAAAAAAAAAAAAAAAGAGGTTGGTGAGGCTTGAAAATTGTGGATATGGTATCCACAAGTTTTTATTAAGCAGAACTCTAAATGTTTTACTTACTTACTTCACTTTGAACCATAATTGAGTCTCACCTCTATTTTTTTTTTTTTTTGAGGTTTTTGCTATAGGGCACATGCGCTCGCTCGCCAGACAGACAGAGAGACAGAAAGCGAGAAATCACCCCCCAGGGGGGATGGGCACGCTGCAATCCCTTCTCCTCCATACTCCTCTTGGGATCTTGGGCACACACGCACACGCGCCTGGCATGAGTTTTAAGCCACCAGGTCCAGGACGCGAACCAAGGTCGACTATGTGGGAGTCCAGCGACACAGCCATTACGCTAACTGCTGGTCCCACCTCTAATGTTATTTTTAAAGACTTTAAAATATACCTAAATATTTTATTAAGATGAAATGATAACATGTAATTTGGTACATAAATAAAATTTTTCTTTCATTATTTCACATTTACCTAGTAGTTTTAAACTTCTTTCTAAAAGTCTGTAACAAATACTACATTGATATTTGTACTGCTTTCAACTAGTTCTTGTCAATTTACTTTTTCAACTTGTGATTTCGTACAGATTTTGAATTACAGTAATCTGAAATCTGAGAGAGGTACCCAAGCAACAGGAATTAGCCTATTCAAATGTAGAAAATGTGTGTAGTTCTGATATGTGAACGGAAAAGTAGTACCTTTGTGGAAGTGATCATTCCTACCCCAGAATTCTTGCCTGTAGTTGGTGCCATGCTGCCACGACACGCCTTGCTGAAGCCACACATGAGTCTGTTAGGCTCCCTAAGGCTGGGAACTGTATCTCACCTCTTATGTCCCTCTCCCTGTCAGCACCCAGACCAAACCCCAAAACACTGCATGTTTGGTTAAGATTACAGGCAAACAATTTACCACCTTCAGATATGTCTGACAAAATAATAATAGTAGTAACACACATTCTTACCAAAAAGAGTGATTGTGGAGTTGGTGAGCAACTTTCACTTGCAGACAAGTTTTTTTTACTAATTTTAGGTGGCTTTACTGGACTGCCAACTACATTGTTGCTGTTTGAGAATTCAGATGATGATTTTGAATAAGGTGATACAGATTTTGTTATACAACCATAATCCTCAGTTAAGTCCTTTTCTGTTGTTTCCGCTACACCTATATTTTCCCACAGACAAAATCAGAGCATGTGTTATCATTGATATCTGCTTTAGAAAGAGCATGGTTAACTTAAATTCTAATAAAATAAGATTATTGCACCTGAGCCCCATTTTACAAATGGGAAAACTGAGTGGGAAAAGAAGATTCATTAACTTATAAATGCTACATAGCTAGCAAATGATAGTTAGGATTTAAATCCAATTCTGCCTGCTTAAAACTCTTTCATCTAAACCCAGTTACAGTGAACTAGAAGAATAACACTGTCAT